GTGGCTGGCTCAGTGTGCCTAGAGTTGGGGCTGGAATGGGATGTGGAGCCAGGATCAAGCCCTGGTCCTTGTGCTTACATAAGCAGGTGCTTAGTCCACTGAGGTATCTTGCCAGCCCTTATAGCCATATTCTTTAATCAATATCATTTTATCACATTTATTCTAAAGCGGGTGTAATTATAAAATATCTTGAACAAAATACTATCTTCAAGGTAGTAATTTGAGGATTAACTTTGTATCCCATTTGTTTTCTAGAAATGTTCTCGAAATTCTAATTTAGTGTACAGTTGAGCCAAAAGCTATGTCCCAAAACCTCAACTTTTCTTATCTGTAGAGTGAATGTATTCTTGCCTCTGTTGTTCAGCTACTGTATTAACATCCTTTCCTTAAATAATTGCTAGAATTACTTATGCTAAAAATAAAGCTACTGATGGCATTCCCATTTGAAAATACATCTTGCCTGAAAATAAAGTTTACACTGTAGAGTATAATAAGCAGAGTATATCAAAGTGTATACAAACTATGATAGAATCAATGGATATTCTTCCTTGTATTTCTTTACAGCTACTTGTTCCTAAGACCTGGAGTAGGCTTGAGTGGAATATATGTATTTTTCAAGTTATCATCTCTTTTCCCTTTTATTTTGTTCTCATTTTACTTATCAAATAATTCAAGTACTTGTTAGATTGATGTTGCGTACTGAAAGTATTTGGGGAGTATTTGTGAATTAATCACATGAACTATGTGATTACTATGTAGCATTTGGAACAAGTTTGTATTATATGTAACAAGTGCAAAAAGTTATACATACATGAGTATTTGGAAATGAGAATCAACATTGCAGGTAGTGAATTATCTGAAAAAACCTATGAAGACATCTTTGTAATTCAGAAAGAATTTTCTTTGTCGATTAACATCATTCTTCAATACAGTGTGGTTTTCATTCAATGAAAAAATAGTAAGGACCGGTCAAATAGCTCAGCGGATTTAAGTGCCTACAAGCAGGCACAGGGGGTGGGCATTCAATCCCAGGTCTGCTGTGCCAGCCCCACCCCTGGGGCACCCTCAGATGGCAATTGAGACTGGACATGATGCCACAAACCTGTATTCCCAGCTCCTGGGAGGCTGTAAACAGGAGGATCACTATGAGTCTGACCTACGCAGTGAGACCCTGTATACTCTGTACACTCTGTCCTAAAATTAAAAAAAAAAAATCAAATAGTAAAAGTAACACATCTTATAATACTTCTATACATATAATTTTTTTTCTTTTTCCATTAGATCGAAAATGGTTACTTGTGTCCCTCTACTGTGAAGACTTGGAATCCACCAACGTCAGCTTTGATTGCCAGGTGCTTCAGGATGTGAATATGGTCTGACCTTTCCCGAATGGACAACTAAATCATGGACATGAGAAGCACCTTACTTGGGACTGTGCTTCCCAAGGATGACGTGGCTCCTCTCTTGAATGCTCACTGAGCATTTTACCTGACAAGGAAACGAAGGACGACAGTGAACTGGAACGTGATCTTACAATGAAAATTACGAGTACATCTTGCATCTGCCCAGTCCTCGTGTGTCTCTGTTTTGTGCAGAGGTGTTATGGAACTGCTCACCACGGCTCCATCAAGGTGACCAGAAACCAAACCAAACACATTGAAGGTGAAACCGAAGTCCACCATCGTCCCAAAAGGGGATGGGTCTGGAATCAGTTCTTTGTTTTAGAAGAACACATGGGACCAGATCCACAATATGTTGGAAAAGTAAGTCCTGTTTTGGTTTGCTCAGACTTCTTCTGAAAGATTGTGGGTGAGGGGAGGGCAAAGTTTGTTCAAGCAACAACAAAATACAGTGAATCTTGTTATAGGTGGCTGTGATCCCTTTTCTCACTTGGAAAGCAAGAAGAGTTAATTGAAAAAGTCAAGTACTTTTATTACTGTGAAAGTAAATTATAACTTGCTGTGTCACTCACTGCTGTGTTGGTCCTTATTGAGAAAAATTTAGTTGCATATGGTTGGGAGCTCCTCATGGTTTAGATGGTGGTAGAGCCTCATGACCCTCTTCAGGCTTGAGAATCTCTGCTGACCACACGTTGTTTGCAATATTGTTGGACAGATGGACATACTCAAGCATGAAGTCACCTTACATGAAATTCAAATAGCACTGTGTATAAATGATGTTTTATTGGGACATAGTTAGCTACGCTCATTTACTTAAGTATGTCCAGGGTGTCTTTAATGCTAAAATGGGTGCTTGCAGCAGAGGGAGGTCCTTCACGTGGAGAGCATGTAGTATTAGCCATTGATGAAAGAACAGTCACACCTCCTTGACTAAGATATCGACTGTGAAAGATTGCAAACAGCTTCTGAGACTTCATCGTTATAGGCAAGATGGACTCTTTCCTATCAGAGAGGCTAGTAAAGATCAAATGCACTGATTCCTAGGAAATCGTAATATGAGGGTTAAGATTTTGGAGCCCTGATAATGGCTATGATCGTTATTTGAAATGATTGGAACTAAAATGCTATCAATCAGTATTTCCCTGGAAAAAGTGGTTCAGAGTTCTTTAACATTTTCTCTCGCAAAATTGCCCTACCTTCATAGTTACATCATTGCACATTCATTGACTGTTACTATTATTTTGTTTTGACATTCCATAAACAAATGGACATGTACATATAAACATCCTTTAGCACATATGTGGGTAGGTCTATTGGAGAGACTTCTGAAAGAAGAGTCTGGTTAACAAATAAATAAATTTAGTTTTGGTAGAAATCACTGGAACATAATCTGAAGTGATATTATCATCTATACCTTCACCAGTTATATACTAAGTTATTATTTCTCTACATAAATGCCAGCAAATGCTATTATACAACTTTGAATTTTGCAAATATAAAAGCTTAAAAATAATATTTTTATATTTTTATTAGCATTTTTGTTATGAGTGAAACCAAAATATTTTTCCATTTTGTAGGGATGATTTTTAAACATATTTTTAATATTTTTGTATTATTTTTATTGAGAAAACAGTAGCAATGAGACAGTTTCAAAACAGGTTAGTAGGATAGTTACAATAGTTAATACATTGGATATTGTTGTCTTCATAGTAGTTATTCATAGTACAAGATGAAGACATGATATCTTACCTAAAAACTATTAGTTCAAAGCTTTCCACTCATTGGACTAAGAGAAAGTAGCTCTGTAACTGTGCTATTTTCTATACACAGATATACATATATATATTTTCACTATAAAATGGTCCTTCATTTATAACCCCCTTTTTTTTAACTTTTATCAGAGATGGGTGTTCCATTGCCATTCATATATTGTAGGAGCATGAATTCAGCGAAATAATCTAATATAGTTCAGTAGTCTATATTAGTAGTGGGTTATCCACATGACTGGCAATGTCAGAAGTTGTTGACTTGTACAGCAAATAACCCCTATGAAGAATGTGTACAATGTGTTAATTATTGAAACTGTCCTACCAATTTGGTTTGAAACTGTCTCATTGCTATTTGTTTCTCAATAAAATTATAGAAAAAAGAAAAAGCCTGATGGATATTCTCAGGATCATTGCCTTAACCATCCATGTTTCCTAGCTTTTCTCCTTGCCCTCTCTTTGTTGTTTAATCTGTAAGTTCTCCCTTTCCATTTAGTAGTGTTATACTGTTCAATATTTATTTCTACTTTTCAATTCTTACACTAGGGACACTATATGATATTTATACATGTGAGTCTGTTTTCTTTCCCCTATGAGTATATCTTCAAGTGGCATCCACCTACATATGAAGGCTTTGAGTTTACCATTCTTTATACCTGAGTAATACTCCATTGTATAAAAATACTGCGTCTTTTCATCCATTCCTCAGGTGATAGGCATTTAGATTGCTTCCAAGATTTGGCTATCACAAATTGTGCTGCGGTAAACATAGGTGAACATATATTACTATGATATCATGTTTTCAGTTCCTCTGGGAAAATTCCCTGTAGGGAAATAGCTGGATTGAATGGGATTTCCAGTCAGTCCTAGTTTTGTTTTGTTTTGTTTTACTTTTGGTACCAGGAATCAAAATCAGGACCTTGCACTTGCCAGGCAGGCACTTAAGCCACTGAGCCGTATCTCTGGCAGTCCTAGTTTATTAAGGAGTCTCCACACTGATTTCCATAATGGTTGCTCCAGTCTACATTTTCACCAGCAGTGGAGAAGGGTTCCCTTTTCCGCACAGCTTCTCCAACATTTGTTGTTGGTTGATTTCTTTATGATAGCCATTCTTTCTGGGGTGAGATGGTATCTCAGTGTTGTTTTAATATGCATTTCATGGATGGCTAGTGATGTGGAGCATTTTTTCATATATTTATTCATTTCTTTAATTTTCCCCTCTGAGAAGTGTATGTTCATCTTGGATGCCCATTTCTGGATTGGGTCTTTAAATTTTGCAGCCCTAATGTTTTTCTAATTCTTTAGAAATTCTTGAGAGAAGACCTTTCTCTGAGTGTGTATTAGTTAAGATTTTTTCCAAATTTGTGGGTTGTCTTTTCACTCTCTTGGTAATTTCTTTTGAAGTGCAAAAACTTCTCATTAACAGGAGGTCTGAATTGTTAATTCTTTCAAGTGTTACCCGTGCAGTTTGAGTTTTGTTCATGAACTGTTTGCCTACCCCTGTGTCTGCAAGAGTTCCTCCTACTTTCTCTTCTAGGAGATTTAGTGTTTCTGCTTCAATGTTTAGATCTTTAATCCATTTTTACTTTAGTTTGATGCATGGTGGTATACTTGAGTCAAGTTTTATTTTTCGGAATGTAGAGGGCCATTTTTTTCTAGCACCATTTGTTAAAGAGGCTATCTTTCTTTCAGTAAGCATGTTTGGCCCCTTTGTCGAAAATAAGGTGGCTGAGTGTGTTTTTAGTGGCTTCTGCATCTTCTAAATTATTGAATTGATGCTCAGGGTGTTTTTTGTTTTTTGTTTTCCAATGCCATGCTCATTTTATCACAGTAGCTTTGTAGTAATTTCAAAACAGGAATTGCAATGCCTCCTGCCTTGTCTTTGTTGCCCAGGATTGCTTTCGCTGTTCTAGGTCTTTTCTGGTTCCAAATAAATTTTAGGAATGATTCCTCTAGGTCTGTGGGTTATGTTGGTAGTATTTTGATAGGGATTGCATTATGTTGGTTCTTCCTATCTAAAGGCAGGGAAAGTCTTTCCATTTTCTGAAATCTTCTACAATTCCTTTTTTCAGAGTACTGTAATTTTCATTAAATAGAACTTTGACTTCTTTAGTTAGTTTAATTCCTAAGTACTTCTTTTCCTGGGGTGCTGTTGTAAAAGGTATTCTTTCTCTAATTTTCCTTTCAGTGTGTTTGTTGTCTGTGGAGAGGAATGCTGTAGAGTTTTGGGTATTAACTTTGTATCCTGCTATGCTACTGAATTTCTGCATTAATTCTACTAGCTTTTTGGTGGAGTTTTTTGGATGTTCCAAATAAAGTATCATGTCATTTGCAAATAATGATAGTTTAACCTATTCTTATTCCTTTTACTTCTGTCTTTTGTCTAATGAGTCTAGCTGACGATTCCATAACTATATTGAATAGAAGTGGTGATAGAGGACATCCCTGTCTTGCACCTGATCTGAGAATGAAAGATTTCTGTTTTTCTTCACTTAGAATTATGTTAACCTTTGGATTGTCATAAATGGCTTTTATCAGTTTGAAGTAGAGGCCATCTTTTCCAATTTTCTGTAGGACATTGAACAGGAATGTCTGTTGGACTTTGTCAAAAGCCTTCTCTGCATCAGTTGAGAAGATCATGTGGTTTTTGGATTTGGCTTTATTGATATAGTGTATTATATTTATATATTTGTATATATTAAACCATCCTTGCATCCCTGGGATGAATCCTACTTGGTCATGGAGTATAATCTTCTTGATTATTTGCTGTATTCTATTTGCTAGGATTTTTGCATCTATGTTCATGAGAGAGATATCTTGGCCTCTTGTTCTCTTTTTTTATTTGCATCTTTTTCTGGTTTCACTATCAGTATAATACTTACCTCCAGGAATGATTTTGGGAGGATAGCTTTCTTTTCAATTTCATTGAAGAGTTTGAGGAGTATTGGGATTATATCTTCTGTAAATTTCTTTTAGAGTTCAGCTGTGAATCCATCAGGTCTTGGACTTTTTATTTTCTATAGGTTTTTTATTACATTTCATATTTCATTGGATGTTATTGGGTTATTGAGAGTTTTGTATCTCATGATTTACTTTTGGTAATTTGTAACTTTCTAGGAATCTGTCCATTTATTCTGTGTCTTCTCTTCTGTGAGCATAAAGATTCTCAAGGTAGATATTGATGATCTTCAGAATTTCCACTGTGTCTGTGGTAATTTTATCCTTTTCATTCCTTATTGCTTGTATTTGAGGTTTTTCTTTTTGATTTTTCATGAGGGTAGCTAGAGGTTTATCAGTTTTATTTAATCTTTCAAAGAACCACCTATTTGATTCATTAATTTGAATTGTTTTCTTCATCTCAATTGATTTGATATCTGCTCTATTTTTTTTTTTATTATTTCCTCCCATCTTTGGGCTCTTTGCTGAGGATTTCGTTTTCTCTTCCTTTTGTAGACATTTGATGTGCAGCATTAGCGTATTTATTTGTTTCTGTTCTGTTTTCCTAATGTGTGAGTTCATAGCTATAAATTTTCCTCTAAGGTGTGCTTTCATTGCATTCCATAAGTTCTGATATGTTGTGCTGGAATTTTCATTGAA